AGACGGGGTTTCACCATGTTGACCAGGATGGTCTCGATCTCTTGACCTCGTGATCCACCCGCCTCGGCCTCCCAAAGTGCTGGGATTACAGGCTTGAGCCACCGCGCCCGGCCCATATGATCTATTTTTTAGCATACATCTAAAGGATAAAAACATCAGTATGTTGGGGAGATATCTGCACTCCCATGTTTCTTGAAGCATTATTTACAGTAGTCAAAATATGAAACAAACCCAAGTGTCTGCTGACAGATGAAAGGATAAAGAAAAATGTGGTATGTACAGTCAGTCCTCCATATTTGCAGATTCCTTATTCACAGATCAGATTCATTCAACACAAGAAAAAAATTTCAGGAAAAAAGCAATAAAAAATAATAATACAACGAACAATAATTTGAATCTTAGAAACAACACAGTATAACAACTGTTTGCATAGCATTTATATTGTATTAGGTATTAATAATTAATCTAGAGATGATTTAAATAGTATGAGACAATGTATGCAGGTTATATGCAAATACTATGTTATTTTATATAGGACCTTAAACATCTGGAAATTTTGGTATCCATGAGGTTCCTAAAACCAATTACCTGCAGATATTAAGGGATGACTGTACACAATGGAATACTGTCCATTTAAGAAGGAAATTTAAAAAGGAAATACTTAAATTTGCCACAACATAGATGAACCTTGGGGAGATTATGCAAAGTGAAGTAAGTCAGGCTGAGGAAGACAAATATTGCATGATCTCATTTCTATGTCAAATCTAAACACATCAAACTCAGAAAGAGAGAGTAGAATTGGGGTAACAGGAGCTAGGAGGATGAAGATGTGAAGACATTGGTCACTGGGTACAAGTTTCAGGTAGGATGATTAAGTTCTGGAGATCTAATGTACTTCGTGGTCACTACAGTGAATAATACAGCATTATATGCTTGAAATTTGCTTAAAGAATGGCTCTTACATTTTGTCACCGTAAAACAAAAAATAGCTATGTGAGGAGATAGATATGTTAATAATCTTGATTACTATAATTATTTCGCATTGTGTACGTATATCAAAACATCATGTTGTACACTGTAAATATACACAATTTTTATTTATTAATTATACCTCAATAAAGCTGGGAAAAAAAATCACTTAGGTATGTGTGGCAATATCTCTTTTTTAACATCAAAAGCAGATAGAGTACACTAAAGCAAGTATGTCTCCAAAAGATAAATTTAGCAAATAAAAAAGAGCAAAATTAAAATGAGATGCTAGAGCTCTTGGTTTCAAACAAAACACAACAAAAAATGAGTAGAAAGAAGAGGAAAGGGAAGGGGAGGGAAGGGGAGGGAGGGGAGGGGAGAGGAGGGGAGGGGAGGGGAGGAGAGAAGGTAGGGAAGGAGATAAGGGAGAAGGAGCTCTCTCCCCTCATCAACTAGAGGGTGATGAGCCAGATACCATCAAAGGGTATGAAAAGTGAAAATCAGTACCATTACTCTTCTTTCAGTGTTCCTGATCTTAAAGCACAGCCATTAATCCACTTCTTCAAGCTAGACATCTGGTACCCCTACTTGTGACATCCCTCTTCCTCCAAGTTTCTGGCTAAGTGTGAGCAAACGTTGTTACTTGAGTGATGAATGAGTATCTCAATGAGGTCATTAATAAGCATTTCAAGCAAAAGAGTTTGCTTATTTCTATTCACCAGGATCATTTTGTTCACATCCAAATTTTTTAGCATTCCAAAGATGTGACCACAACTGCAGACGTTTATTAGAGTATTCTTTGAATTATTATAGAAACTCAGAACATTATTGCTAAATTGGACTTTTAACAATTTTCTAGTGGAGCTTCCTCATTATATGTGAAAGAGTTTCAGGAGATCTGCACAATGTTATCCAGGCAGGTGGTGTATGAGCAGAGATAAAGGCCATTTTCACTCCCAGTCCAATGTTTATTTCCACAACTATGCTCCAATTTCTAGGTTTTATGCCTTCATTTTCATATTAGAAATCAGTAAGAAACTATAGTACCCAAAAGGGAAATATCTCTAAATATCTCTTAATTTTGTCACATCATTTAGATTTCTGCTTTAAATACTAAATGTGGCATTTTTTAGAAGGGTGGAAGGCAAACCCAGTTTTGTAAAAGATGAAGCCCTTTCATGCTCCATTTGCAATTTATGTTGTATGCCTTAAATGCAGGTGAATAAAGGATGGTACATGTTTCCCTTGTTACTTTTCTCAATAAAATTGAAAATTAAAATATAATCAATAAAATTCTCTAGTTAAATCTAGTTGTCCATAATTCAATGTATAAAGATCCAAAGAAAGGTAAGTTTTGAGGAAGCGCTTGGGGAAGTGATATCTTGGGTAGAAAAGTACTATTGTTATCCAGTCTATTCCAACTGATTGTGCAATCTTGACTACCCACTTCCTCTGCAAATTTCAGTTTCCTCATCTGTACAATCAAAAGACTGATCTAAATCATGGGCTCTGAACAGAGGGTCGGTCAATGGACTTCCCATTAAGCCCTTTGATGTGTGTATGTGAGTGCATTTTTTTTTCTGGGAAGAGGGTCCATAGCTTTTATCAGGTTGTGAAAAGGGTCTGAGACACAAAACTGGTTAATTGGCTGTGTGCTATTTTAAACTGAGGTCCCTCTTAACTTGTGAAATCTTACAAAGCTGTAAATAGAATTATAATTTTAGATGAAAACCAGGAATAAAAATTATTATTATCCCTAATAAGATCATTTGAAAAGCATATTTTGTACAAAGGGGTACCCTCATAATCAACAATGCATTCAAGCATTGGCCGAAGAACTTCACTAGAAGCCCAGTCAGGATTTGCCATAATTAGCATCCATCACAACAGACAAGAGACATGTAACTATATGTAGTAAATCTAAATATATCACAGATATTTTTGTTCTGCCTTTTTATTATCAATGTTTTAATGGCTATCAAGGTAAGACTGCTACCTAGGATCATGAAGTGGAAACAACTCAGAATAGTTTGCCAGCAAATAAAACTTCTTTCTCACAATTTTCAAGATATTCATCCAAAATCATTTTGATTGGAACTATTGGATAGCTGAATAGCACTGTTCTTATACTAAGCATATGATTATAAAACACCCAGAAATAAAAGTCATTCTGCTTACTCACTTATTTCCTTTCTTCCTTCCCTCCTTAATTTAATAAATGTTTGTAAATTGTCTAGTATAAGTTGGAAACTCTCCTAGACACTTGTGAACTATCAGTGAAAAATGTAAATATATTTCACTCTCAAGGTGCCTACATTCCAGAAGGGAAAAATAAAATAAACAACATACATTAAAGTAAGCATATTATTTATTGTATTTAAAGGTGATGAACACTTTGGCAAAAAGAAAAACAGAAAGAAAAAAAGACTCGGGACACTGGCACACCAGAGGTGAGGAGGGCAGCAATTTTACATAGGTTACAGCAGGCCTCCTCAAAAATGTGTCAGGGCAAGGGTATGCTTGACTTGTTCAAGAAATAGTAAGGAGGCCATTGTGGCAGGGAAAAAGCAAAAATTATTTTGCTGTTGTAGTGGTGACATTTGTAAAATTTCATCATTGACACCTCATATTGTATTAGTTCCATATTTAAAATGAAAGTTATAATATCTTTGGTAAAATCTTATTTGTGTCCTGTATTTGTCAAAAAAATTCAGTCAAAATTCTTCTCAGAATTTTAAAACTTACCTCAAAAGTATGATCTCTGGTTGGTATGTATTTTAAGTCTCTCAGTCCCCACAAACATGTATTTGGTAATGAACTGTTATATAATATGCAAATATGCCATTTAATAAGAGATGATGTCACTATAAAGAAATCAAGTAAAAGAACTCTATTTTGGACATTAAGAAATTAGGCACAAAGAGATTTGTTATTCCAATGAAGAGAAATTCCAAGACTTATAGTTAACATGAAAGCCCTCATTCTTTCTGAAATGTCACACTGTTCCTTCAGCATTTTAATAAATTGTTTGTTTCATTAGCTTTTTTCCAGAAATTGAAAAAATCATGATAATTGTACCATTTTCATGGCATTTATCTGGGTTAATGCCTGAAGAAAACAAGACCTATATAAACATAGCACTTTGTCACAAGGGGAGGGTCAGGTACCCATTTCCCACAGTAAGCATCTTGCTCCTGCCTCCAGGCCTCACATGAAAATGAACCATGATCTCACCAGCTTGTAAATGTAAGACAAAGTGTACATAGCCATACCTTGCTCAAGTGGTCCTTTCTGACAAAGCCAGTGGCTGCTGCAATGTTCCCTGCTCCCTCCACTGTCTTCTGGGCTACTGCTGTCACACCCGTCACCACCGCTCCTCCAACATTTGTCACTTGCTCTTTGGTCTTCTCAGCCACTGGTACAAATCAAGAACAACAGATTAAAGGGTGGTAGAGCAACAGTGACTTAAAATCATTCCACTTCCACTAGCCATCGACTTCTATACACCTGTATTTACACATGCCAAAGACAACTGAAGGGTCAGAAGAAACACAGTAACCAAGATTTCCAAGTCAGTGTGGTTCAACCAAACATTGGATCTTGGCTATTTTTGCTATAATCATGCGGTATTAAAAGTGCTTCAAGGTTAATGATCAGGAATGTAAAGCCATGAGTGATTTGGATTTGCTTTATACTAAGGAATGTTTAGAGAAAGCAATGCTTACAGGTACAGTTATAGTTGAACCAGACTCAGCATGAATATTTCTTTATTTCAATTCAGTGTCAATCCTTTGATCTCACCCAGCAAGTTTATTTCCATCACACCTTCTAAGCAACACAATACATACTTCTGAGTTTTTAAATTTTATTATTATTTTTTTGAGACGAAGTTTCACTCTTGTTGCCCAGGCTGGAGTGCAATGACATAATCTTGGCTCACTGCAACCTCTGCCTTTCAAGTTCAAGCGATTCTCCTGCCTCAGCCTCCTGAGTAGGTGGGATTACAGGTGCTCACCACCACGTCTGGCTAATTTTTAGAAATATTTTTATTTTTAGTAGATACAGCATTTCACCATGTTGGCCAGGCAGGTCTCAAACTCCTGACCTCAGGAGATCCATCCGCCTCAGCCTCCCAAAGTGCTGGGATTACAGGCATGACCCACTGCTCCCAGCCCATACTTATCTATGTGTTCAGACATGGTATTATCACATATGTATGATTAATAGCATAAGAGATGGCTGTGAAGGAACTTGGATCTTTTTATAGAACTTCAGGTAGTGAAACAGAAGTGTTCTTAAAAAGCAAAATTTACAGTAATTTTAATAGGAGCAAAGGAGCTAGATAGTATGAAAATGAAGAGGCAATTGAGCACCCTAACAATTTCTTTTCTTAAAAGAAAATGTGATATGGTTATTCCGTAGATTTATTTCAGAAAGTTAATATGTTTTAGAAGACAATGTAAATAATTTGAATTGGGTTTATAAGCAGAAATTTAATTTCATGTCAAAAATTCTCTTGTTCAGTGAAATAAGCCAGAAACAGAAAGGCAAACACCACATGATCTCTCATGTGGAATCTAAAGAAAAAAAAGAGTTGATATCATAGAAGCAAAGAGTAGATCAGTGGAGGCAAGTGGAGGATGGGGACAGGTTAGTTATATTCTTCCTTAGGTGCTCATCTAAAAAAATGAAGGCACATTTTCTTGATATGCTTTGTACTCCCCAGATAAGCCTCAGTCTGAGAGGAGTTACACCACGTCAGCTGTTGAGCGCTAGTCACATGATTACTGCATAGTTTTCAACTCTCCAGTTGAAGAAGCCCATAGTTAAATGGTGTGGACAAAGCAATTTGTTTTCAAATACATTACGTATGTCATAGAAGCTAAAGGTCTGTAAGGACAAGAGGCTTTCCCTTTAATTCAGGAAATGTGGGGAAGCCTGACATAGCCACATAGCCCAAGACCGGAAAGGGTCCACAGCAGTGTTGCTCTTTGTCTTTTGGGCTAGAATTCTGTACAGTTACCTATTAACTCTGTGCCACTTCTAAGGATATGGCTGATGTCTCCTTAAGATTAAGAGCTATTTACAATTCAAAGTTCGATTTAAATGCCAGTGAAAAGCTGTACTGAAAATTTATGTTTTAAAACATTTCTAAAGTGTTGATCCTTTAAAAGTAGTGAATTATGTGTTTCAAGTTGTCATTTTTTGCCTTTTCAAGGATGTGAATTGAAAATTTTGCTTGAAACGAACATTTTGTTAAAATTTCAAAGCAAGTTAAAAATAGGTTTTGATATTTTTACAGATTCAGCCACAAGTTTTAGAATATCTACATAACCTTTTATATATGTATAAATTTTAATCTAGTTTTAATGTAATACACTGCACAGTAAAATATACTCTGCACATTGTTATAATTTCACTGTTTTATTATAATTATAAATAAAATAGTTACATTACAAAATGACAGGGTGTACAGATAGCAATAATCGACACATTTAAAAACATTCCTGTAGAACTGATTTCTCTAGTAGGGTCTCCACTGACCTTGAACCTCTATTTTTCCCCCTTAGGGCCTTTCACACTCTTTCTCTGTTCATTGACATTCCAAACAAAGGGTGACAAAACAAAAGGAAAAGAGACACATTTTTATTAGTACATTTTGGGTCTAATAAATAGTATCTATTTTACAGCAATTGAGTTTTTTGAAATCAGGGATTCTGCTTTATTTTTCTTTATATTATTTCATAGCAGATAAGTAATTTAGAATACACTAAGATGAATTTAGCATCTATCTCTAATGTCTGCATTAATGTAAATAATAGGGTTATATTTCACTTCAGCTAAGTTAAAAATACAATTCCAAAAAGAAAATATGACACCAACTTTCAGAATACAGTAAAATCTAACCTATGACATTAAACAAAATTATAGTTTTGAATTGTTATACATGATAGATTTAAAGAAAATAATTTAAAACAATTGACTAAGGAAATTTAAATCATGTGTTGAAAATTAGTTTTGTTCATTATGATGTAATAAATTGTATGAATAAATTGTATGTAATTAATGTATGAAGAATCAAAACCTTCAGAAAATCTCCAGTGTTAGAAATTTCTTTATACTATATTTGCATGAAAAACAAGTAACTTTATATCATAGTTTATTTTTAAAATACATTCAAAAACATGTCATTCAGTTAGTTTAATTAAATACATTTTTGTATATTTCTATAATATGATGCATTAAGTTGATAACTGAAATAATTTCCTGAGATCAAATTGCCAGGATTTAAGTTGTTGAATTTTACATTTATATTATCTAATGAGGAGAATTTATTTTCCTTGAACTTTGTAGGCAGAAAGCTCCCAGCTCGTTTACTGAAATCTATATTTCTGCAAAAACAACAAGAACAAAATAAGCTAATAGGATGAATTTGAGGGAAATTATTTCTTTTATTTCTTTAATATTAGCAGATAATATTAGGTACTATGTAATAGTTTCTGGTTTCCCTGCATGAAGACTTGTGACAAAAACAAATTAACAGCACTTAATATTACCCATAATAAACATTTACATCAGGCATAATATGCAAATTATTCTCCCTTTCTCTAACCATTGAAGTAATTATCTTTCTTCTCATAATTGGACTGAAGAATTTTATATTAAATAACCCTACTCAAAAAATTAACTCATTTATCTGATGTGGGAGAGGAGTGATAATGATAGCAGCTGATTTATCCCAATGTATTTCTCATAGCCATAGTAGTTATGACAGCATTTTTGGTATTTCACTACTGCCAGGGTGTTCATGGGTGCGATGGCTGTAAACGTGGCCCATGCTGAAATCACCATGTCCTTACTGCTTAACAACATTTTCTATAGTTTTCTGTGAAACACTAGTTTCATTCAACCCTAGTATCTAATGAAGAAAGGTTTAAATAATCAAAAAGTTTGAAGAGTCCTGATTTAAACTATGTAATGCAAATTTCTTTACTGTAAGACATCTCAGCTTCCTTAATATACTAAAGAGAAAATAAAGCACGTAAAGTCTCCCAACATTGTACCGTGTTGGAAACTTAAGTTTGTGTCCTTCAGAAAACATTTTATAAAATGTTGTCTAATTATACAAACTTCAGTCTCTCTCTCTCTCTCTTTCACACACACACACACACACACACAGACACACACACACACACAGATGTGTTTACATTTTGGCAATCTAAAGAAGACTAAAAATGCAGCCCGTCTCCACTGTCTCCATTAGATCATTAGGTGACGGTAATATTGGGGTTCTTTAATTTTTACCACTGACTCCGAAACATGGCACATGCTTGTCTGCTTTCTAAACCTCATGGGTTCTTTCTCAACTACTAAATGGAACACCATTAATCTAGACTGACCCTCTTCAGAAAGCGGAATCTCCAACTCTCTGCTGTCTAGTTCTTATTATAATTGTGCTTCACAGTATCATATTTATAGGAGGTCCCTACAAGGCAACACAGTTCATTTACTTGCCCAGTTTCTGTTGGATTTCAGCAGAGCCCATTAAAGGTGCATAATTAGCTTCTAACAGAACCCATTTCAAAGGAGTCTGTTTTATTTTTATACTCTCATTTTTAAATCAAAAGTATTCATTTAAAGAAATATTTTTCTCCACTAGTTGTAAAAATGTTGTGCAAGAAAGTTCACTATAAACCAATAAGTAACTTTTATAAATAGATATTGTTTGCTTTTGTTTTCCAGATGCTTTGTGTACATTAATTCATTGAATTATTTTATAGGCGAGGAAGCTAAATCACACAGAGGTGAAGAATCTTGCACAAAAAAACACAGATGGTAAGGAGTAAGCAGGAAGTTGAACCAAGAATATCTGACTCCTGTGTTTTTAGTCCTAACCACAACACTGTATTAAGATTCCCATTTCATTTTCCCCATCTCCATCTTAGAATTTAGTGATAGGGACATTTTATTTTTATAGGCACTATTGTACTTAATGCTTTCTGGTCATATAAATTATATTTCTGCTTATATCTTTTGTTTCACCACACCTGTCAGGAAATGTGGAGTACTTGCAACAGGAAACTTAATTACGGCAAGTCTGTGAGCTTTTAATTTGTTAATTTGGTTCTTTGATGTTTTGATTTTCCTATTTCTGGCACTCTCATCCTCCTCTCCTTATGATCTGATGATGATTATCATCATTTTCATCATTTTTGGTATTTCTTGATTGTAAATCTTATTTACTTATTCAAATTCTTGGTAAATTTAGGCCAAATGAATAACATACTCAGAAATATAATAAGTAATTGCACAACAGTATCTGTACAAATAGCTATACTATAATACAAATACAAATACAATAAACAATTTACTGACTGTCCAGTGGTGCTTCCTGTACTCTGAATTATCAAAGGAATGTTATAATCAATATAGTTGAAGGTCCAACTATTTTATTGTAATCAACAGAAATTTTACTCTTTTATTAAAAAAAAATGGCAATATTCACAATTTATTTTGTCAGCAGTTTGTCAATCCATTTTTGGTCAGAATATTTAAATGCCCAATTACTATAAATTAAACATAGAGTATCAATTCAAAGCCATCATTATTCTTGGCAAGTAAGTATATTTTTTATTTATTTGTAATCACTATTTACCTATTTTAAAATACTTTATAAAGAATTCAGTTTAAATAAGACTGATATGCTCTTAGAACGCTCAGTGTTTGTTTTACAATTTCATTCTGAATGTTCATTACTGGGCCACACTAATCCTAGATACTTTAAATATCATCTTTGGATATAAGCCCAATGGAGCTTACCTGTTGCCACACCATGCACCACTCCCTCCTTGGTTTTGGAGCCTACAAAAACACACAAATTCAAGACATAAGTCTCAAACTGGCCTTAAATTGCTGATTAGCTAGTTTTCAGTACAACTAATTTAAAAATCTCAATCTTTGAAAGTCTATATATAATTATATCTTCAGAGAAAAAATATATCTATATATCCTAAATCTAAAAGAAGGAACTCCAGTAACCACCACGATAAATAGAAGAAAGCCAAGCTAACAGGAGGTGCTCTCCAATTAAGATTTTAGCTCAAAATAATGATTTTATCCTCCTCTATGTTCCCACATCACATATCAACTTAGAGAGGAGGAAAAAAAATGAGATAACACTGGAGCTCAGTGAGAAGATGATTTTGGATTCAGAACTGTAGGAGCTTTAAAAGTACAGCACAAGAGACAGATTAGTCAACCCATGAAACAAAAGAGGGAGGGAGAGAAGGCTTTAACATGTGCTGAACACCCATTATGTAAAAGGCATTCTTACATATCATCTCATTTAATCTTCATAATATCCATTTAAAATAGGTATATTGTACCCATTTGATGAAATAAAAAATACGAGTTAAGTAATTTATCCAACATTACACATGTAATAACAGGCTATAAGCACATTCAAACTAGGGTCTCTATATAAGACAAGAATGTCCTCCAAGCCTTGACCATTACTAAACTTGTATACAAATAATCATTATGTGTATTATTGAAGCTACACTTGTTAACAATTTTATTTATATCCTCTCTAATGGTGGATTTTTCAGTGTAATTCACTGTGTAATTTGTATATGGAATAGGCATGATTTTTATGTTTTACAGAATTGTCCTACTCCTTTTAAACTTGGATCAGTTTACAAAATGTTACCATTTGCACGTTAATGTCATGATATATTTCTGATAGTGTATTTACCATAAGGTGTATTTTTCAGCATCACTTCCTCTGGGACACTTTCACTCTTTATCACCTCTTTCCCCATTTATATTGATACCTTCATCTTCAATACATTCCTCTCACTGCCTGTCTAGTCTCCCGAATTACAGCACTGACAAAGTCCCCAGGGGCGGCTACTTCTTATATAAATCAACTTATGTTTGATTCAAATTTGACTTCCAGCATGTCTCACTTAATTTCTTTGCTGCACTTTCATCTTTGTTGGTCAGTTTCCCCTTTTGATTGCCCATTTTTTGAAACATCATATAGGCTCACCACTGGGAAACAAAGTGGCCGCACAACTACAGGCAATGCTGCCTGTATGAACTGTGTAACAGAGAAGCAACCAATCATCAAAAAGCTTTGAAAGAAGTGCTGTGGTTTTGTCACTGATTATAAAGGGTTTCTGTTATTTACATAATGATCTGAAGCCCGAAGATTTAGCAGCAAAATTTGCACTTTATGCAATTACTCTCAGCATACTGTGGTAAGAAAATTTAAATTGTATTGCTAGCGGCTGGAGTTATTTAACTAACCATGGTAGCTGGAATTTGTGTGTGCTGGACCTATGCAGAGTGAGAACAGCTGGTATTTAAGAGAATATGTCTCAATTTCTGTCTCTCATGCTCACCCTCTGCACCCCATACTGTCTTAAAAATGACTAGGAGTAAAAATGTCTAACAGCTGGTCTGCAATCTTTCTTCTCTGCCTCAGCCGCACCTAAGAATTTGACCTTTGGTTAAATCATGAAATGTGTTCTGAATCAAAGACAATGAGATAGACGTAGAGAGTAGAATTAGGATTATTAGAGGCTGACAAGGATAATAGGGAGAGGAGGATATGGAGAGGTTGGTTAAGGAATACAAAATTGCAGCCAAATATGAGGACTAAGTTCTAGTGTTCTATGGTATCGTAGGGTGGTATACTTAACAAAAGTTCATTGCGTATGTTCAAAAATCGAGAACAGAGAATTTTTAATGTTCCCACCACAAAGGAATGGTAAATGTTTTAGGTGATGGATGTGTTAATTACCCTGATTTGATCATCACACATTGTATACATGTATGAAAATATAATTCTGAATCCCACAAATATATGCAATTATTACATCTCAACTAAAAATAAAAGAAAAATTAAAAAGAGAGTAGCATATGACCCAGAAATCCCTCTCCTGGGCATAGATCCACAAGAAAAGATGGCTCTCCGTTTTGGGCCATTATCTATGCTCCCAATGGCCCAACATGGTGGCTCTTGCTTGTAATCCCAGTGCTTTGGGAGGCTAAAGCAGGACGATCACTTATAAATATACAAGGAATTTTAAAAATTTCTAAAACTAATATTTATTTAGCATACTATAATTTAAAACATTAAAAATTAAAGTGTTCTATTTCTTTATTTCTTTGTAAAAAACTTATCAAGAGTAATTTAAACAGTGCTTGTCTTCTCATTGCATAACTTCCTCTATGGAGTGGGCATGTGTTTTACATTTTACAGAATTGTCATACTCTGTTTTCAATTTGGATTAGCAGTTTGAGACCTGGGCAACAGAGTGAGACGTTATCTCCACAAAAAATTAAAAATTGGCCAGGCATGGTGTGGCATGCCTGTAGTCCCAGCTACTTGGGAGGCTGAGGCCGGAGGAGCTCTTGAGCTCAGAAGTTTGAAACTGCAGTGAGCTATGATCTCACCACTCCATTGCAGCCGGGGTGACAGCAAGAACCTGTCTCTAAAAAAGAAAACACAACAGCCACAACTAAAGTGTTTACCAATAGATAGGTTGATAAAAAGACTGTGGTACATAGATACAATGGAATATCAGTCAGCCCTAAAAAGAACAAGATCCTACCATTTACAACATGGATGAACCCAGGCAACGTTATGCTAAATGAAATAGGCCAGACACAGAAAAAAGTTACATTATCTCACATATATGTTGAAGCTTGAAACAAAATTTAAATATACAGAGATAAAGTAAAAAACAGGGTTAATGGGGTGGAAAAGTGTGTAGAAAATAGGAAGACATAGGCCAGAGGATCCAAGCAAGTAGCAAATATGTAGGATGAACAAGTGTATAGATCTAATGTACGAGGACTATAGGTGATAAAATTGTACTATATTTGACAATTCTGTAAAATGTAAAACACATGCTAAGTAAGTAGATTTTAGCTGCCTTTGCCACAAAAACAAACTACAAAGAAAGTAACTATGGGAGATTATGAATATATTAATTTACTTCAATATAGTAATTTTTTAGTATCTAATGTATCCCATAACATCATGTTGTATACCCTAAATATACACAACAAACTTTACATAGAAAAAAAGGCTGTGGCTAAACTACACCATCAGAAATTATACTTATTTTTTATAAACATCTCATGCAACATACTATATATTTTTGTAGTGTAACCCCAAATAAAGAGATACATATATACCTTTAAAAAAGAGAGATAAATGAGAGTCCTTATAAGACTACTATGTATCAAACCAATAAGCTGTTGTTTGAGGTCATAATTATTTGCTAGTAATCTGTAATTGATGATTAGCCTTTAATTAATGAGTAATCTGTAACTGATAACATATAGCTACAAAATGGGTGCCAAGTGGTTACTGCAGTGACACCACAGCTAATGACTTACCTGAGCGGAGGTGTCCCACACCCACCCTATCTTGTCTGTCCAATCTCAAAAGAGCACAGAGTGGAGAATAAGGTCAGAAGTAATATCTGGTAGTTTGGGGACTCAGCTATCTCAGCTGTGCATGTTATGTTGACTTTGTCAACTTGGTGAGGTGAAGCACATTTTGACTTGAGAATTTGCCATCAATCACACTGATGGCTTCTGCTGCTTATTGAGCAGAGTGGCATTGGAAGAGACTCAAAGATCATCATTTTCTTGCATTTCTTGCATGTTTATTACTTAGCATTATATAAACATAATTAAATCTTTCTCCTTTTGAATTTAAATCTAATTAATAATTTCTGGGTCATTTGGAGAAATTTTTGTCTATTAAATTGAAGTATGTTGACTAAAAATTTGTGTACACAGATAACAAAAACGGAGGAAAAAACCCCACAAAAATAACACTGATCATTAAGTTAGTTCTTCAATGAGTTAAAAAGTAGTTGTTAAAGTATGTTCTTATAAAGGAATGAGATTACTTTTCTTATGAGGCTTCTACCAAACAAACATCTTCGGCCGTAAGCGAATTTATAAAATTGTCTTTGGTTACTTCCAATCTTTCAAACTAGTTATATAATGAAGGACAAAAGGATAAATAGAAAACATGTTGGCAAAGTAAGTATTCCATTGGATAGTTTATTTGATAATAATAACTGTGGCTCCTATATATAACAGTGTGCTCAGTTATTCATATGTCCTGTCTTATGACATTCTCACGAAAATCGCAAGGTAGTTGCCATTTTCTAAAACATATTTTTACTAATCAGGGAAGTGATGCTCAGAGCTGTTAAGTAACTTCCTCAAGACCCTAAAGGTAATAAGTGATGTAGCCTCGACTAAAACTTTGGTTTGTGTGACAAGTACATGTTCTTTCCATTCTATCAGTAGTCAGCAAACTATAACCTACAAGACAATTCCAGCCTACCACTGAAGTTTTATTGGAACATAGCCACACTAGTTACTGTTTATGACTACTTTCACAGTTCAACAGCAGAATTGAGATATACTTGCTTTTTATGTGTTTGTTTATTTGTTTGTTGAGACAAGGTCTCACTCTGCCACCCAAGCTGGGGTGCAGTGGCTCAATCTCAGCTTACTGCAACCTCTGCAGTGAGCTGTATGACTCAAGCCATCCTCCCACCTCAGCCTCCTGGGTAGCTGGCAATATAAGTGCATGCTACCACAGCCGGCTAATTTTTGCATTGTTTGTAGACACAGGGTTTCACTATGTTGTCCAGGCTGGTCTCTAACCTCTGGGCTCAAGTGATCCACCAGCCTTGGGCTCTCAAAGTGCTGGAATTTGAGCACTGCACCTAACCAAGACACAGATCTCATGGCTTAAAATGTGTGCTATCTGGTTCCTTACCAAAAATTTTTGCCAACCCCTGGATATACTATTCTGTCTCCACATGGTCATTTTTCATTTTAAATTCTGTGTGTAAGTTCAACTTTCAATTAGACCTCAGAATGTAACCAATAAATAATTTATAGAAAGTGCTACGTGTTAAATACCATGAAAGATGTTGAAATGATTTCAATGAACAGTTATAAAAAAATGAAGTCAAAGAAACTAGTACTTGCAGAACTTGGAAATCTGAGGACAAATGGAAAGATACTAAAAAACTGCATGTTACTGAATCAGTATTCCAAATTCCATCTAAAAAGGTAAAATTCACACGTCATAAAAATTTAAAATTAACTCATCAATTTTTTCCTCTTGTAACACTATTCTAATGACTTTCTAAAAATATGTTTTAAGGTAGAAAAAAGTAATTTAACTGGAGATTTGTGGGAAGATTAAGTCAATGTAAAAAAAAAATGTCTAAATAATGGGACAGTGGCATATGCTTATAATCCCAGCTACTCAGGAGGCTGAGGTGGGAGCATCACTTGAGCCCAGGAGTTCAAGGCTGCACTGCACTCCAGCCTGGGTGACAGAGCAAGACCCTGACTCTAAAAACTAAAAAAAAAAAAAAAAAAAAAATTCTGCTGTGAACTTGGATGAGAGGCATTCATATAAATCATTACAAGTATAAAATTTCCCCCATTGATCTATCTTGAAGAGACAGTGTAGATTTCTTCCGCTTTGCAGACATAGACGGAGGATGTGTTTCAGCTATGCAACCCAATATGCTCATCCTCCACCTGACTATTCAATCCTGTGACTCTTACTGCTATAGTTGCCACCAGAGAATGTGAAAAAGCTCAGAGGAGAAAGAAGAGAGGAAGAATGGGCAATATGTCTATGTTGAGTGTGTGTGTGTATCTGTGTGTGTATCTATGCCTGTGGATGAGTGTGTGTGTCTATTCTTTTCGAAGGATTTTGAAGTGGTTTGTAAAATAACACTCAATTTAACACAGTTCAACAGACAGAAAAGAGAGTCAGAGTCTGGATATATACCCGTAGGTGGGACTTTAGGAACAAGTAGGTAATAAGCATCCTTTTTCTTTATTCTTCTAGCGTGTGTGTCGTTTGATGGATGAACTACATAAACGTTTCTGAGATATAAGCAGCGGCCCTCAAACACTCTTCTCTGTCCTCAGTGTTCAGAGACCAAATGATCACATGAAGTAACTCTACCAAAGACTAATCTATTATTTCCATTTTAGGGCCACAAATAGGTCTCTTTATACACATCACAGGGACATATCAAAGTCATATTTTTAAAATCAGAATGGATTAAAATTGACAAACATTATTCATGATGGTAAAATATCAAAGACCCATGAATCATTTTGATGCTTAAGAATATTATTATTTTTTAAAAGACTACGAGTTTTTAAAACTGTTCTCTGAAATGCAGTCATGTAGGTAGAGCAATATTCATTTTTTAAAAGTTCTAAATATTAGAGGAAAATTAAAAATCTGGAAAAGCAAACAGACACATTTTTTTAACTATTAACTCAAATACACACATTCACATTCATCTACCTACACACACCTCTGACTCAGTCCACCCTTTTGACAGGCAATGATGCAAAAATGAATCAAGAGAGGGAACTACCAGCATTTAGAGTATTGATTATCCTGACCCATCAGTCGTGAACAAACACCAAAGTGACAACTGGGGTTTACCTACCTACATAAAGAACACCCTCTTTTGTCTTTCCTGCTGCTTCTGCCACACCCTGTTTGGTTTTCTCAGCAGCAGCCACGACTCCCTCCTTGGCCTTTGAAAGTCCTTTCATGAATACATCCATGGCTAATGAATTCCTTTACACCACACTGGAGAACATAAAATACACTTTGAATGAGAACTTTTTGAGGGAAAAAAAAAAAAAAAAACACTGAAAAATCATTAGAAACCCTCCAAAGTGTGAGACTCTTTTAAGTGTACACTCATTTAACCACTGGACAAAGCAGACATTTTTAGCTCTGGCATTAAAAATTTAGCATCTCCCATCCATCTTGGCTAGTAAAAGTCTAGCCACCTAACCATGGATTAAGATGAATCCTCTGAGTTGTTATTACTGCATTTCAGAAGTGGAGCTGCAAGAAAAGATTCACCCTTTTTCAACTTCCCGGGGTCTAAAGGGTAACAGTATGAGTTAGAAGCATGGAAGCTGGAAGCTTACGGTCAGGGGCATCCTTAACTTGAATCCCAGAATAAGGCTACCGGGTTGACGATGGAGAGACAAGAAGAGAACTAACTACTCACTCTGGGTGTGGTTGAATCTCAGGCAAACAGCGAGCCCAGGGGCGCTGGTTCTAATCCACAGGAACATCCACCCCCCCGCCCTCAGCTATCTACCCAGAGCAGGCGCCGCTCACACCCGCCGGCGGTCTCCAGGCCCGCGCCAGCCACCTGAGGAGGCGTTCTCAGCCTCCACCCTAGCGGACCGCGCGCCTGCACTTGTTAACCCTTTACCACCTGTTGACTTGGCCTCCCTGCACTTTCATTTCATTATTTGCCAAACGCAGCTTGCTTACTTTACAGAGAAAAACCGAGAGAGCGGGCAGAGGAATTTCAGGTAAAAGAGAAATAAAAGTTGGATGCTCAGGCTCCATGGAGCATCCTTGCGTTTCCCGGGAAAAGCGGATCCTGGAGAGCGCCTGACCTCTCAGCCCTTGAGGAGAAGGAAATATCGGAAGCAGGAGGAAAGCCAGGTTCAGTCTCTTTCCTTAGGCTCCCCAAAGGACAAGTACTCACCGCCCAGAGACCTGGCACAGCGGATCCTCACCGCAGCACCACCCCCTCCCGGCGCCCACGACCACTTCTCTCCCACCCGGCGTTCTCCGGGATTTCCAGAGACACACGTTTAGATCCACAGGTACTTACCAGAGTCCCTCTGCTTCTCCGCAACTCCGATTCCTCCCCACCTTCCTTAAAAAAAAAATTTAAACAATTCCCAAATAATATTGAATAGGGAAGAGGAAGGGAAAGGAGCGCACAGGAAAGGCGGAGGCGGCACCGGGAGGGGGACGGTCCCCAGAGGAGGCCGCTGTCGGCACAACTCGGCGACGCTAGGCTGGGGGCGTGAGAGGCAAACCCGCTAACCTGTCGTCGAATGGCCACTCCCAGTCCCTCGCTCACGAGGATGAAGAGAAAGGGAGGCTTGAAGGGAAGGCGGGAGGGCGCGCCCAGGACGCTCTCGGCGGGGCCGGGCCGGGGTCTGCGCTGCAGCCCGCACGCACCTCACTCCCGCGTCGCGGCGCTCGGTCGCTCGCCCCCTCTCTCGGGCCCCTTCTGGTCGTCGCTGTCGTCCTCCGCCTCGTCCTCCTCCTGCTTCTCCTCGCCTCTCCGCCCCCAGCGCTGATTTGTCAGCGCCTCTCCCCGCCCCTCTCCCGGCGCTCGCGGTTTCCCTGCCGCGTGCGCTTAGTTCCCATTATCCGATGGGGATGGGGCAGGGGGCGCGGGGTGAACCATCAACTCCAGCCGCCTGCCTGACCGCGCAAGGCGGGAAAGTGGGGGTGCCTTCGCGTCTCACCTCAAGTTCAGGGTCACGGGCACTCTTTTGGCGCTCGCAAGAGGTTGGGCTTGGGTTGATGCCTCTCCCTCTTTCCCATTCCCCTCCCTTCCTGTCCCCGCCTTTCCCCCTAGGTCCTCCCGGGGACCATCCCCTGCCCCGCGTCAGAGTCGACCTGGGAGAGTCGGGGCCCTGAGGGTCGAGCACCTAGAACAGAGCTTATCCCTTGGAGGGCTACTGGAGGAAACAGGCAGCGCAGGGAGGCTGCTCACACGGCACCGCCGAGAGCACTTCGCCCTCGCATCGCTGAAATTTAATCACCGTCTCACGCCACATCGTTAAGGGTCGCTTTAGTTCAAATATCTCCAAGATTTCCGTTTGCTCTTAATCTAGGACGAGCCCGGAAGGGTCCCGCAGGTGAAGCGGAGACTACTAAGGAAGAGTTACAGGTTAAGGAGGCAAGGAGGAGGCTCAGCAAATCCTCTTCCCACCCCACTATCACCATTTTCCTTTCCACCAATCAGCGCCTGCCAGACGCTGATTTTCCCATCAGTGGAACAAGGAATAAATATTCCCCAGCCGTCTAAAACAAGCAGTCCCAAGGCTTTTTGCTCTAGAAATGGGACTTACTTTGCAGACCCAAGTGCTTGGTCTAGGAGGCAAATCCAGCGTGATTTCCCCTACCCGACCACCATATCCAATTTCTTCTTCAGCCCCTTCTGAAAGGAGGATGCTACAAACCACTCACCTTTCTGACTCCTGATTCTCGTTGCCCTCAGAACTGACACCCCCTTTTGTCTCCCCCACCGCCAACACGCACAAAGACACAGACATACAAACGCGAACTTCAAGACAATTTTTGCATCACTTAACACATTTTCACCTCTTTCAAAGCTGGAAGGAAGACAGCTGTTCCTAGATCACACCAGAATGGAGAAGCAAGCTCCTCCCTCTAGCGGAAAGCCTTTGCTTTCTGTGCCTGGATTCGGAAGATTAGTTAAGCACTGGAAAAGTGGGGGAAACAACAACTCGTTTTTGAAGTATGTTTTTTTAAAAATTGTTTTTATATTTATAGAAAGTAATGTTTTGTCTGATTCTTGCGGTCATTTTGGTTCTGAAATTTGAGTAAAATCAAATTTAAACATAAAAAATAACTTTAAAACCACAAGGAACAGGAAGCAAATGAGTGTACATAACAGACATATAGAAGATAACGCATATGTGTTCAGTGGAAAATAGAAGAGCATGAAAGCAAGATCACAGGTATTTATTACTTAAACACTTCCTTGAACTCTTGGTCTGCCCTTTGGAAAAGCAGACTTTCCATAATGCAGCAGCTCATATTAATATTTTGTGTTTGCCTACCACCACAGCAAAAAGGTTGGACTTGGGAGCTAGTATGCTGTCTGGCTTTGAGACCTTGAACAAGTTATGTTCTCCTTTTGTTTCCAGTTTTCTTTTTTGTAAATGAAGGGATGAACTCAGGTGACCGATCCATTCTCAAATTTTTATTATGGAAATATTCAAACACACAAAAGTAGACACAGTGAAGGACTCCCATGTGAATATCACCCAACTTTTACATGTTTTTCAACACACGGCTGATCATGTCCCATCCATATGTCCACTAACTTTATCAGTACAAATCCTCCCTGTTTTTTTGTCACCAAATTCAAGCTTTGCATATATCTTTTCAGCTGTAAACCTTCAGTATGCATCCACAAAATTTAGGAACTGTTTAAAAATAACCACAGTATCATTAGATGATTATTTAAAATTGCAGTATAATTTACACCTAGTGAAATGCTCAGATGTTGTGTCCCTTTAAGTCACTTTGAAAAAGCCATCCATTAATGTAACCCACACCATTTTGAAGATGCAGGACATTTTCATAACTCCAGACAGTTACCTTATACCCTTCATGTGCATGTTCTAGAATTTCGTAAAAATCTAATCACATAGTATGAACTTTGTTTCATATCTGTGTGACCTCTTTTACTCAGCATAATATTTGTGAGGTTCATTCATGTCGTTGCATGAATCAGTGGTTTGTTTTTTATTGCTTTTTGTTGTTTCTTTGTATTACTGTTAATAGTATATGTTTTCCATTGTGCCTCATTACAGCTAGTACCTCAATAGACTATTACAACAATTATTTAATATATTATTTCATATGACAAATTTATAGTTTAACAGTGACCTCCTTGAGACCTGGTGCTTTAAGTCAAAGAGATAAATAAAATGACAGATATTTCAGGTCTTATTAGCAGACCTATGTTGAGAGAATTATTTTTGGACAGTTGCATTTCTTATAATATTTAACACGATTCCACACTTTTATATGGTAATTTATTAGTCTTTTGACAAAGGAATGATGTACTGTGTTATTCAGTCATAACAGGCAGATAAATTATATTTTATGTAACTGTTATAAATAGAGAACCTGAGCTCCAAGAGTTTTGGTGATAGGCTGAGATCACCTAGCTTTTTTAACTGGCAGAGCTGAGACAATTTAGCAGAAACTGTTACAGAAAGCACAATTGTCTCTGAATTAGCAGTTTCTGTCTGAAGCCTCATAGATTGGGTGTGGTAAAAGGTGTGAAGGAAAAACGTAGAACCCAAATGTGTTAGAAATAGCCTTCAAATTTGGATGTGACAATGGAAATCAAAAAGAACTTATGTTATTATAAAACAGTTCATTCATATGTAAAGTTTTGCCTTTTCTATATTGGTATTCCTCAATAGGGGAAATGATTTCTCACTACACACAAAAAAAGAAAATTATAAACTAATTTTGTTGTCATTTTGAATTATAACTATATGTTTAACTCTTTTCACTCCTCAAAATGCTTTGAACACAGTAAACATCCAATGAACTTTTAATTGCAAATAATATTGATAGTAATATTGCATATATTCTAGATCCATATTCTTAAGGAGGCAAAGTTGCTCAAGTACAAAGAAGGGAACTAGAAGTGAAAATAAATATATATTTTTAAGTTTTTCTTTTCATTATTGATGAACAGCATGGTCTTCAGTAAATCTTTAGGTTCTGACTTCATATTTCTTTTTAAACTAATTGAATGGCTTGCACCTCATAAGAAATAGGAAGTCAGAACCTACTTGGAAGCATTACTGCTATGCATATTCTATTCATAACTACCATATTCATGTTTGGTTTTCTCTTTGCTAAGTGAAATTTAAATATTTTACCACACCTTAATATGATTGTTTTATCAGGATTTAATTTATTAATTTTGCTATAGATTAACATCCTATGAAATGTATGCTTAACCTAGACTTTGCTTATCCCCATAGAACAACTGAAGTTTTAGGTATGGTATGCAGTGAACTTGTGCTATAGCAAAGACAGCGGAGTAGAATGGCATGAAAATAAAGATGCTGTCCAATAACAAGTGATTAGAGGGAGGAATGATTTAATGTGTTTGAGAGAAGAAAATACAATGAAAATAAAGGTTCTGCCCATTAACGGTGATTAAAGAAAGGAATGATTTAATGTGTTTAAGTGAAGAACATATAATCTTTTTTATCTTTGGATAATATTCCATATTTGTTGGCGAACACAAGAGGTGATGTAACATTGATGCTTGAGCCACCTGCTTCTTACTCCCTATCGGCGCCTTCCTGTCACCTTCTGTAAACGTATGAGAGAGATGAGGTAGTGAGATCTCGATAGGCTTCTCCTGTAATTTCATGGTGGGTATAGAGAAAACCTAATGCATAGTGTTGGGAGAGCATTGTGTATGATTTTGGAAAAGGGGTGAGCATAAGATGGGGGGATAGGTTTACTCTGAAGAAATATGAAGAGCAATGAAGAAGAAGCATCATGTTCAGATTCTCTAATTTGACTCCATGGCCAACTTCATATTGTTTCTATTAGATAACATTTTAAATATTCTTGTGGTTTTGTGGTCCTAAGAATATGAAGGCATGCAAGATTCTAAGATTAAATATGTTAAAGCTAAATAAAAAAGACACTTAAGTATTTCAAAATCTAGCAAGTTCAAATGACTTTAGTATTAGAAAGAAAAAAACACATTAATGAACCTAAGTAATACACTCAACTCTGCAACTCTGGTGAGCATGATATACTTCTAAGAGTTGATATACTAGATACAACCTAAATGCAAGGACTTATCAAAGCTCTACTACTCATTAGCAGTGACTCAGAGCAAGTATCTATAACTTCTGTAATCTCTAGTTTTCTCATTAAAAAATGAGAATGATGCTTTACTTGTCTTGTATGATTGTTAGAAGGAATGAATAATGTGGTTCATAGCAAAGAGCCAGGCAGAGTAGCAGCTCTCAGTACAAGTGGATATTGTTATTATCTAGCCTCCATGTTCTTGATGTCCTAGGAAATGCTTTTTGTTTCTTCATTGCAGTAGATTTCCGCCTATTCCTACCCTCCACAGTCTCCCATCCCACCAGCAACATACATGACATATCTGATGCTTTTCATCAATAACTCTGGTAAGTATGGGTAAGCAAAAAGTTTCCAACAATGGATGGAAATTTTGGAGAGATAGAGTGGGAAAGGCCAAGGAACATTGATAGGGATTGTTAATTAAAAATCCACCAAGCATCTCTTTTCTCTCCCTAATGTGTGAGTTACAATAACATCACTCAAAGCAGTTGGCAGCCACAGCTTGAAAAAATACAGTAACAATGACAGAATTAACATTTACTATCTTTATTAACATTTTTATATTATTAAACCTGATTTATTTCAAAAGACAATGACATAGTCCTGTATGAATTATGTTGATTTGCCAAGAGAAAAAAATAAAATGATACAACAAATGGTATTCC